TATCATCATCAACATCATCCCCATCATCATCATCATCATCCCCATCATCATCATCGTCGTCGTCGTCATCTTTCCGTTATACCGACACGAATGCTATCGTACCGTACCGAGTCTACCGGTACACAATCACGGCTTGCAACTCGGCCGGCTGCATCCAGAGTTTACCGGTTGGTTTTACGGATCATTATTATTCAGTTATTGTTATTGTTATTACTTGTAGGACTGTGATTTCATGGTTTCGTGTGTGTGTGTGTGTGTGTGTGTGCGTGCGCGTGTGTGTGTGTTTGTGGAGGGAGATTTTTTAAAATGTGTTATTGTGTTTTGTTTAGTTATGTAGTAGTAGTAGTAGTAGTAGTAGTAGTAGTAGTAGTAGTAGTAGTAGTAGTAATAGTAGTAGTAGCAGCAGCAGTGGTAGTAGTAGTAGTATCAGCACTTTTTTTGGCTCTAATATTACGAAGGCAATGAGTTCACACAAACTTGTTTGCTTTCGTTTCGTAGTAGTTATTCAGTGGGTGTAATTTTCGGAGGTTTCAACAGCAACAACCACACACACACGCACACACACGCACACACACACGCACACACACACACGCACACATTACGTAATGAAAGCACGCTGCTTTTTTTATCTTCAAGCGAGTTATCGGTCTAGTTGCCGATTTGTGATTGGTTCTGTTGGTGTGACGTCATAACCCAATTAGCCAGCCATCCAATCACATTTCGAACCGACCTCATCGATACTTAAAAATTTAAATTCACCGTCCAATCAGGTTGAGGCGGTGACGAAAGAAGGACAGCCCGACCCAATTAGCCAGCCAATCATAGCCAATCTGACGCCGACCTCATTAACATTTAAATGGCATCGACCTAGTAAACCGAACGGCATCATAACTAAATACGTCATTCGTATGACGTCACCGGAGAATAGGGTTGTGCTGGATACGTCGCCAAAGTCGCCATCAATAATTTTCTCACCAGTAGATGGTTCTTTTTTCTATGCATTGAAAGGTAAGTGCTTGTGACGTCATCATCATCATCAACATCATCGTTTTTATCATTTTCGTCATCATCTTCTTCTTCCTCTTCTTCATCTTCACCATCATCATTGTTACCATTTTCATCATCATCTTCTTCATCTTCACCATCATCATTGTTATCATTTTTGTCGTCATCGTCATCATCAAAGGCCTCAAACCGTACACCAAATATTCCTTCACCATGGAGGCCTGCACTGTGATTGGCTGCACGGCCAGTGACGTCATTGATGTCGTCACACTCGAGGACATACCGCAGGGTTTGGACGAGTTTATTTTCCGAAAAAATTTTTTTCGCTATCTTAATTAATTAAATTAATTAATTGATTAACTAGTTAACTAATTTTAATTATTCCTCTATTAAGTTTATTTATTTAATTATTTTAATTAATTCGTCTATTTTATTTTAATTAGTTTATCTAATTAATTTTCGTCACCCATCCATATTTTCGCCTTTTTCAGACATAAGACCGCCATTGGTCTTTGTAGGAAAGAGCGCGAACATGACGGAAGTCACGTGGTCTCCGCCCGCCATTTTGAACGGCATTTTAACGGAGATGGGCGTCGAAAGATCCGAATCCGGACTTCCATTTTTAAACGTCGCCACTTACCGTCCAGACGAGATGCCAGTTTTTAAAGACCCCATCAAACCGGAAAAGCATTATCGATATATGATCTTTTATTCTACTTCCGCCGGAAGAGGTTACTCGCCATCGTTTGAGATCTTTGTCCCGACTGCTGTACCGACTTTCATACCGGAAGTTACTAACGCCACGGTTCTCAACGAGTCTTCCGTTTTTCTATCCTGGTCTGATGCTGATGATGATGGCAACTCGAGTAACAATGCGGGCTTCAGTTTAACTTATAACTTAATAATAATAAACTCTCTCCAGAATACTGTTTACGTGACGAAAATCTTCGTGCCTCAACAGCAAACATCACCATCACAATCATCTTCTTCATCTTCATCACCATCATCATCATCATCATCATTGCCATCATCGACCATTGTTACCGGTCTGCAGCCGTACACAGACTACCAGATTCGAATGCAGTCCTGTCTGACGAATGTCTCCAGGCCATCGTGCGGTACTGGCTCGGCAAAAAGAATCACAACCCTCCCCTCCCCACCCGAACAACAACCTCCGCCCTCCCTAACCCCTGTCAGTCCAACTTGCGTCTTGGTGACATGGTCGTCACCCTTGAAGCCAAACGGGGTTATTTTGTATTATTTGGTGAAAAGAAGATTAGTGATGAGCGGTGCTTTGGATGGGGATGTGCCATCGCAGACCACCGACCGGATGGTGATACCGACATTACCGACAAGACCGATGAATGCGACTTCCGCTTTCACGACTGCCAGTCCGACGTTGCAGCTGCAGAGTAACGAGCTTCTGATCGCTAAAATGAATTCAACGACCATGCAGTTTTACGACCAGACACCCGATGTCTTGCCCTTTACGTACTACAGCTACCGAGTGATCTGCGTGACGAGGACCGGCGAAACAGCCAGCCCTTACAGCTCGGTTTTAACCCTAGAATCAAAACCGCAAATACTCGATCGACCACAAGTGCTGCGTGTCACATCCACCTCTGCATCGTTGTGCTGGACACCTGCCGTTAGGCCGAACGGACTGATTTTAAAATATTATTTGGAATGCCGGTTCATGCAAACTGTTGACGTCCAAAACAATGCGAGTAGCAGCGGTGTCGGTACGTTTAACGATTCTTCAACCGATTTTACCGTTTTAGTCGATGTTGCTAGCACATCCCTGTGTGCCAATGTCAGTTCTCTCCGACCATATAGTCGATACAAATTCAGAGTTTCGGCCGTCAACAGTGCCGGCTCGATATGGAGCGAATATACGACTGAATACGAAACTGAGCAATCGACTCCTTCAGGAATCGAACCTCCATCCTTCGAATCGATTGTCGGTGGAAAGTCGGTGATTGTCAGCTGGTTGAAGCCGAAAAGTCCGAATGGTGTTATCGCTTACTATAAAATTGAACTGAAAAATTATATTGACGATGCAATGTCATCACCAGCATCATCACCATCATCACCATCATCATCATCACCAGCATCATTACCACCATCATCAGTTACAAACGTTGTATACCAAGGTTTATATCAGCACTTCGAGGTTCAGAGTCTGCAACCGTACACGAGGTACGCCATGCGTTTGTACGCTTGCACTGTTTCCGGTTGCACCAGATCCCGTTGGTTCCAATTTCGGTCGGCTGCCGCTAAGCCGGAAATCCCCCCGTCTATTTATAAGATGCCCCTGTCTAATTCGAGTTTCGTTTCGGTTTCTTGGGAAATTCCAAAAAACACGAACGGCCCTATAAATAGAATTGATGTTTTGCGCAGCAGAATCCCAATCTCCAATGAAAACGCTACTAAGACTTATAATAATAATAATAATAATAATAACACTTATAATAATAATAATAACGGCAATTTGAGAAAGAAGAGATCAGCCGATAGCAATATGACGAATGAAGATTTCCATGTTGTACACTCGGAGAAGGTGGGCGATGGAGTTGTGCTGCAGTTGTACACGTACGCGGACGCCGACGTACAGCCTTACCACAGATACACGTCAGTGGCGCCATCTAGTTTTAAAGTTTTTTTTTCACGCAAAATAATAATGTTGCTATTGGGTGATCTAATCGTTCGAGTTATTTATTTTAAATGCTTGTTTAGTCGGAGTCGTTCATTTGATTGGTTTTAATATTTTCAACCCTTTAAAGATACTCATCTGATTTTCATTTACAATTTCAGTTACATTATGCAAATATCCAACGAGGCTGGCACGATCAGTAGCACCCCAGTTGCAGCCACCACTCCTCAAGCTCCGCCCACATTTGTTGCTCCTCCCACTATTCAAACCATCCAATCACAGTACGACAAACTATTGATCACCTGGCAAGATCCAGCCGAGCCGAACGGACGAATCACAGGCTACCAACTGAAACGGGCCAATCAGATCGCTCCCTGGTCCATCCAATCAAATTCAAATAAAAGTTTCATCGACATGCAGCTGAAACCAAGTACCTTATACAAATATGCAGTTGCCGTCTGCAGCGAGCCTGGATGTACCTGGAGTAATTGGACTGAAATTCGTACACTCGATATTGCTCCGATATTCGTTCCGATTCCTACAGTTACGGTTGTTAGTTCGACCGAACTCCTAGCCAATTGGAGTCAAGCTTCTTTGATGATGTCATCTGTTACTAATAATAGCCCAATTGGTAGTGATGACTTCAACAACGTTGGCGTTGGAAAAATTGTGAAGTACGAAGTTAGAGTAAACGACAGTACAATTTACTCCGGACTGAACACTGAATTCCTAATTTCCGGACTCAATCCGTACGCTACATACGCGGTGTCACTAATCGCCTGTACGGCTGGGGGCTGCTCTGAGAGCGCCAACAATATGGCTACTACAGATCAGGCTCCTCCGGAAGCCATGATGCCACCGGATGTTGTGACGTCATCATCTACTTCCGCTAGAATCACGTGGTCGGAACCTCAGAAGAAGAATGGAATCATAACGTCGTTTGAGGTTAAGAGGAATGGATCTTTGGTATATTTATTATCGCTGCAGTCGCGACCACAACAGCCACAACAAACGTGGAGTTATATAGACTCAGACTTGAAAGCAGCAACGACATACACATACGTCATCCTGGCCTACAACATCAAAGGGTACGCCACAAGTCCAACCACCACAATCGCCACACCGCCATCTTCGCCCGTCGGTGTGTTGCCTCCTATTCTACAGGCCAAGTCGGCCTTTTCAATTCTGGCAACATGGTCGGAGCCCCTGGTCGCGAATGGAAACATCATCAATTACGGACTGTACATGAAAGAAGTTTTGACATCATCATCACCGTCAAGCATGTCGTCATCAACTTCACCGTCGTCACCTCGCAAAGTTTTCACCGGCTTATCAACAACCTTCCTAATCGAAAACTTACAACCGTACACACTGTATTCAGTATCTTTAGAAGCCTGCACGCTGATTGGCTGTGCGACCAGTGACGTCACTACGATTAGAACGAATCCCGCGGCACCTGAAATTCTTTCGCCGCCATCCTTAACGTCATTCTACAACGGATTGAATTCTAAACCGGAAGTGGGGGTGAATGCGGTTTGGAGCAATCCTGCTAGAGTGAATGGCGTCATCATTCAGTACATGCTCTACAGAAGATTGTTCGCTGAGAATTGTACGTTTCTGTTGTAGCTGTGATGTTGCCTAGCTGTGTGATTGTGATGTTGTGACTACATTCATCATCGTCGTCATCTTCAATGTCTATACTTCATTCATCACTTTTTATTGTCTATTTATTTTTCATCGTGACGTCATCGTCCTACTTAACACTAGCATATCATCATCGTCGTCCGCATCATTTTCATGGTTTGTTGTCATTTCAATTGTTCTTAATTTTTATCGTTCGTCTGAAATAAATTCAATATGAATTATGAATTGAATCATTACTCTTACCGAAGAGGTTTTTAATGGAAGAAATAACCTTTAACCTATAACCTCCAATCTTTTACCTTTAAATACATGAGAAATACTTTGACAACTGTTGTGTTTTTTTTTATTGTTTTGTATTTTCACATTTGTATGCGCGTTCGAAGACTTTAATTTTAATTAAACCTAGATGACGATAGCACTGGAAAACTCCTGATCGCCGATTCGCCCCTAAACTTTCGTGACCTCGATGTTGACCTTCGACCTTTCACGCATTACCAGTACAGGGTTGTGGCTGTCAATGAAGTGGGTCAGGTGAGTAGCACCTGGGCCGATGTCGTCAGCGTTGAGGGGGCTCCAACCGGATTGGTCGGGCCGATCGTTAAAGTAGGTCACTCGCCGCTGGTTGGCTGGTTTTTTTTTGTAGTTGATACTGTGAATGTCATCATCGTCGTCGTAGCCACTATGGTCGTTAACTGTAGTAGCAGCGGCAGTAGTAGTAGTAGTTGTTGTTGTAGTAGTTGTTGTTGTAGTTGTTGTTGTAGTAGTAGTTGTTGTATTAGTAGTAGATAGTAGTAGTTGTTGTAGTAGTAGAAGTAGCAGCAGCAGCGGTGGTGGTATAACTATTATCTTATTTTGAAATTAAAAACTCAAAAGTCAGTCGGATCGAGAAATCTGACGATCAAGCAGAGCCCTCCGGACCAGCAAAATGGGGTCATCAGGAATTACACTGCCTATCTCAATGGAACCCCGGTTTGGCGATAATTGTTATTTATTCCAAATAATTAATTTTAATTATATTAAAATCTATAATAATTAATTAATTCTTATTTATTATTTTTATTTATTCAATTTCGATTGAATATCTATATATCTGTCTGTATGTCTATCTATCTATCCATTCATTTATTTAATTTATTCATTATCACAACTTCCAAACCAGACGGCGTCTTCCATCCAATCAGAATTCTCCGTCTACAATTTGAATCCAGGAACCAATTACGACGTCCACATTCTGCTCTGCAATTGGATGACTTGTGTAGCCACGCCCACCATTTCCGTGACCACTCTAACCGAGGTACCGCGTAATCTGGGAAGATTCAGAATTTTCAATGTGACGTCATCGACGCTCGATTGTGATTGGCTGGGGCCTGAGATCAACAATCAAGGAAACTTGAGGTTTATTTTTATTTGTATTACTGATTTTTTTAACGATTTTTAACAATCAAAATATGAATAATTTAAAAAAAATTGTATTTTATCTTTTTAAACAATATTTTTATTATGGTTGTTTTTTGTGTTTTTAATGAAAATTGTTTAAAAAAAAACATTCTAGCTACCAGTTAACATATCGGCCCGTCTGTCCTCAACCTTATTCAAACGACATCAACAGCCGACCAATCAACTTTTCTTGTCAAGAAAGCTCTCCTCTCATTGGCTACCAGGGAGATAATTTATTCACAAGACTGACCAATCTGCAGCCTTATACGAAATATGAAATCAGGCTTAAATGCATGAATGACGCTGGTTGGTCGGATGAGTCAGCTGTTTTTGTGGCCATCACCGAAGTGGATTGTTAGTACATTTAATTCTATTTTATTATTAAATTATTTAGTTATTTTATGTCATAATTTAAATATTATTATTATTATTATTAAAAGTATTATTTTAAGTAATTAAATATTAAGTAATTAAATATTTCAAAAATTCGTTTTTTCAAAAGTCCCGCGTTATCTGTTCAGTCACCCGCCTACCATTCGTCTAATGAAAAACACCCTGAACGTTGATTGGTCGGAGAGCTTCCAGCCCAACGCACCAATCAAATCGTTCGTACTCTTCAAAAATGACCTAATGGAATATTCCGGAACGTCCTTGACCTACGTCGATCAGCTGGTGGATAAAAATAGAAGTGGGTTGACATTTTTTTAATATTTTCGTCAACATCATTCATACTACCCTACACACTACACACACACACACACACACACACACACACACACACACATCCATACTCACACACATACATACACATACACATCCATACTCACACACACACACATTCCTGATTATGTTGTAACTCAGTTGCACATGTCAGAGCTAGATCAATTGGATAATTTATTTTCCAGTCATACTTCTAAAAGTTAATTAAAAATAAATCAACATCATTATCATCGTCATCATCATCGTCATCATCACCATCATTATTGTCATCGTCATCACCATCAAACCCGTACAGCCAATGTATACAGGGTAACTATGGTGACCCAGAAAGGAAGTGTGTCATCACCTGACCTAATTTTCAACCCCTACGTCCCTGATATTATTGGTGGATTTTTTCTTTCCTTTTTTCAAACTGTCAAAACTCATAAAATGATTTTTGATTGATTAATTATATTTATTTTTTATTGTAAACATTTAAAATTTATGAACGGTTCTATGTTTGAGATGCCTGAATATGTGTGTATGTGTGTGTTGTGTGTGTGTGTTTTGCGTGTGTGTGTGTGTGTCAGTGTGCGTGCGTGCGTGCGTGCGTGTGTTGTTGAGACCTCCGGCAGTGATATACCAATTAGAGGATTGTAAAAAAATAATTAATTTTAAACTACCAACCAACTCTCCAATTCAAAAACGACAGCTGTCAACAAAACAGCCGACCTGAGCGTGACCTCGAGGCCTCAGAACGTCGCCAGCTTAACACCCGTCTACCAGGAAACATGGTTCCTAGTACTGATGATCATCCTCTCAGTACTCCTAATCGTCATGATCATCATAATCTGCCTAATCATCTGCCGAAGGCCTAAGTACGGCAGGCAAATCGATTACACGAAAGACGGCCAGCTAAAAGTGAACAAGGATAACAAACGGAGATGGATCAAGACTTCCGGTTTTAATAAGAGGGGCTCTACGACGGAGAGTACCAATAGCTTAGTGTACAAGGTGCCTCTTGATGGTGACACTTCCGGTTTCAGCCCCAACTACAGTCCGGTAACTTATCGCAACAACATCTACACTGGAGACGTAGAAAATAATAATAATAATAATACAAATAATAATAATAACAATAATTTTGATGATGACGACGATGATGATGATGATGGTGGTGGGGAGGAAGGTTATGATAATGATGAGAATAAGGTCTACCGCATGTCGCCTGACTGCAATCAGTGGAAAGTTCTGGAAGACCTCGGCTACAACCGACCAGCGTCGCCATCTTCGCAATATGGCGACGATGATGACGTCAACAAGAATAATAACAATAATAATAATAATAATAACTATAATAAAAATTTTTATTATAACCAAATACAACAACGCCGCAATAATAATAACAACAACAATAATAATAATAATAACAATAATAATAATAATAACAATAATAATAATGAATTCATTCGCTGTACCGACGGCTACAAACATCATCAACGTCAAGTTGAGGACAATTGCGTCAGTCTGGCCGACGTCTTGCCGGAAAATGATTCTAGAAACAACTTCCGGGGTGATGATCGTGACGTCATCATCGTCGATGGTGATGATGACGTTGATTATGGAGTTTGGAATAAAGAAGTGGTTAACGAGGATGAAGATGAGGAAGACGATGATGATGACGTTTTTAATGATGACGGTGATGATGGTGGTTATATTTCTATGAGGAGGAATAAGCTCCCGTTAAATATGTTATCACAAGTGAGATGTGTTTGTTTGTGTGTGTGTGTGTCTGTGTGTGTATGTGCTTGTGTGCGTGCGTGTGTGTGTGTTCGTTTGTTTGTTTGTTCGTTTATTCATTCGTTCATTAAAACTTCATTTGTTCGTTCGTTCTTTACTGTGTTCGTTCATTCATTCATTCATTCATTCATTCATTCATTCATTTATTCATAAAATATAACTCACAGAACAAACAGAAGAAGAGAATAAGCAATCCTCAATCATTTTTTCCAGATTCTAAAGTTTGATGACGATGAAGACGATAATGATGATGATGATGATGACTAAGGTACTGATAATGATGATGATGATGGTGATGATGGTGAAGATGAGGATGACGATGACTAAGGTACTGTTGATGATGATGATGATGGTGGTGGTGGTGATGGTGATGGTGATGGTGAAGATGATGATGATGATGACCATAATTATAGTTGATAATTTTAATGTTTAACAATGATATTGATAATTATTTCGGCGATGAAGAAAATAATTATAGTTAGAAAAATTATTATTAATATTGTGATGATGATTATGATGATGAAGATGATGATGATGAAGAGTGTCTGTTTTATGATGATCACAGTGGTGATGTTAATAGATACAAAATGATAACATTATTAATGTACTAAGAGGAGGATAATGGTATCAAGTTTTGGTGGAATTTTTTTCAATTTTTATTTAAAAACTTGTAATATTTATTCATATTTTGTCACAGTTTATTGATTTTTATACTTTACTGCGTGTCATTTATACATTTTTTCTTATTTTTTTTCTATGGGGTGTCTCGGTTTTTTAATAATTTTATAAAAAAAATATTGTTCTTTTGTACACAAATGTGAACGATAATGAAGATGACTAGAAGTTCTTACCCAATTTAAAAAAGACGGTTTCTATCAGGCTGCACTAATTTTTCCGGATTAGCAAATTTTTCTGTATTTTTTAATTTAATTAAATAATTAATTTATTATTAATTTTGATCTTTTTCACGAAATGAATACTTTGATTGATGTTTTTGTTGGCAATGAAACACTGATTGACACTGGAGTTTATCAACTCTGGCTCGACGGCCAGACAGGTGAGTTAGGGAGTGAAAAGTAGTTTTAGCAATTACTTTGTCGTTATCAACCGTTACTTTTTTATTAGCCCTTAGACTATAAGATTCATTACAGATTACCATTACAACATTAGATAGAATATTAGATTAGTAGTAGATTGTAAATGTAAAGTAAAGTAAAAGTAAATCAGTAAATGTAATATTGTAATCATTACGATTACAGTACTAATTAGAGTGTAATGTCTTCTAGTTTATTAGTGCTTGATTAAATTATACTTACTATTATATTATAATAAATTATATTATGATTAACATGGTATATTATATATATATATACTATAACTATAAACGTATAAAATAAACTATCTGTCTATATATAATTATTATACTAAAATGTTTACTTTTTTAATAAATTTAATATTAAATTATTATTCAATTTTAATTTTTTATTAAGTAATTCACTTTTCATTTTCTCTCGTAGTTAATTAATTTAATTTAACTAAATTTAAGACTGTCAATTTTATAAGTTAAAGTTTAACTATTAAACTGTTTAACCTTAACGGTTAAACTTATAATTAAAAATAACGAAAGTAAACCATTGAAGCAAATCTTATATTGAGATTAATTCCAATTATGTTATTTATTCAGCCATAATAATAATATATTTTTGTGATGATTTTTATCATAATTATAATATAAAATAATAATACAAACCTAACTTACAGTTGAGAACGCTGCGAAAATCCAGCAGAAGAAAGGAACTCTTTTACAGTTCGGGGCCACATTTGAGATGCTGACAAACGACATCGAGGACCAGTACCGAACGTTTAAACTTCTCGAGAACTATTTGAAGAACCCGACCGAACTCTCCTACCAACTCGAGTTACAGCTGGCACCTGAAATTCAGAGTCAACTTATCGAAAAGTGAATTGAGATTTTGGAAAATTTTGTCGTTTATTATTGGAGTAAATCTTTTTTACCAAAAATTTGAGTAGAAAAATTATTAATATTTTTTTATATTTTGTTTTATTTTTTTTATTTAAATTATTAATTTTTAAAACTTACACATCCAAATTTTATGCAAATTCATTTTAATACTTCAGTCAACCCTACACACTTTCATCTAATTAACATAATTTATTTACACCACGCCCGTCAGGTATTACGAATTCGACACGTTAGTCGTTAGGGAATTCATCGGCCGCAAGCTATCGACTCGTCTGAGAAATTCCTTAGACGACATTTCCGACAGGACAAAAATATCAGTTAGAAGCTGTAAGAGGCAGGTCAGGGATAGTTTGTCAATAATAATAATAATTATTATTATTATTGTTATTATTATTGTTGTCATAATTTAGTTTGACAATGTGAAACAAGTCTTGAAGGTGGTTGAAGACTTGCCTGGTTCCATTCTAAACAACATCATCAGTAACTTTTTACTCTCATCTCATTTGGCACAGTTTGTGATTGATTGGTTGATTTATTGATTGATTGATTGATTGGTTGGTTGGTTGGTTGGTTGGTTGATTGATTGATTGATTGATTGATCGATCGATCGATTGATTGATTGATTGATTGATTGATTGATTGATCGATTGATTGATTAATTGATTGATTTTGTTCAGATTAAAGTTGATGAATGATTCAGTGATGATGTTTGAGCAAATGATTAATTTGATCCATTTATAAAAGTATCAGGTCAATTAACGAATAAATTATTCAAATTAGCGATTAATTTATGCCTAAGATTAGTGAATAAATTATGTTAATTTCCCAGGCAGTATGCAGCTATGGTCTTTTTGAATACGAATAGGTTCGATCTGACGAAGAAGAAGTTAAGTCACTTAACGTTCCATGATCTCGTACACTGTGCTAATGTCATTATGAACAGCTGGTCCATATCTTTGCACGGTTGGTTGGTTGGTTGGTTGGTTGGATGGTTGGTCGGTTGGATGGATGGTTGGTTGGTTGGTTGGTTGGTTGGATGGTTGGTTGGTTGGTTGGATGGTTTGTTGGTTGGTTGGTTGGTTGGTTGGATGGTTGGTTGGTTGGTTGGATGGTTTGTTGGTTGGTTGGCTGGTTGGTTGGTTGATTGGTCGGTTGGATGGTTGCATGAATGAATGAATGATTGAATGAATGAATTCGATCGTTCGGAATGAATGATTTACAGATTTCTAAAAAATTATTGATTGAAAGAAAATCATTCATCCTCAATTTTTCCTGACTTTGCTTCGAAATTTTTTAAGACTCGAAGGACGGGGGCGACGCTAATGATGCCGACCTTGACCGCGACTTCCTCCAGGAGGTCAAGGAGTTCAAGGTCA